TTAGTCAATAGCAGGAATCAGAGAGCATCTGCTCTTCTGCTCTTGGTTATGGAACAAGTAAGATTACTGGCAACCAGATAACATGATTGCCTTTTACAACTTCATTTATCATTGCTCTTCACATTTTTCTTTCTCGAGTTAATTTATATAAAATATGTCCTTTTCTGAAGAAATCAAAGGTTGAGCATTGACTCACCAAAAGCAATGCTTATGCAGGCGACAAAGTTGGACAGATTAACAAATTAATTTTCATCATCAGGTATAAAGAAAGCAGAAGTCAGGACAGTTCTTAGCCCTGTGAGGTGATAGGCTAGAAGGAGGCAGCTGCTCATGGTGTGGCTCAGGGAATGGGCACTGCTCCCACTTCAGTCTGGGGCTAGCCTTGCTACGTTTCCCACATGTGACTCTAATGCCACTTCACCAGGCGCTACAGTCGTAAGTAGAGCTCTAGCCTGAAGAACGTGTCAGAACCTTGCCAAATATCTACCATAAAGGATATTTCTGGGTTAAGAGTGACAACTAATTAGGATCATATAATAAGTTATTAGGATCATATAACAAACTGGGCACATTAAATTCACTGAATTTAAAAATTTTAGTAATTTTATAAGGTAGATACCCTTTTTATCTTTATTTTATAGATTTAAAAACAGCCTTAGAGGTTAAGTAACTTGATTAAAATCACACAACTTGCAAGGGTCATGGGCAATCCAAGAGACCTCCTATTCTTTTGAAACTTCAAAGACCATCAAAAGCTAAAATTCTACCAATAAAATAATAGTTGAGATGACTTAGGAAGGCAGCCTCAGTGGTGAGAGTCTCTTTTGTCCCTTCTACATACTTCCAACATTTCCAGTATAAGAATCAGCTATAGAGGTATATGTGGTCCTTGCTCAACTAAGAGCAGTCTTCCCATTCAATAAAGTGAATAAAATGCATGCTCTGACATTACCCACACCTCCTCTTAAATGTGTGGATAGACAAAAGATAAGCAATAACAAATGCTGGCGAGGATATGGAGAAAAGGGAACCCACTTTCAATGTTGGTGTAAATTAGTACAATGTAAATTAGTACAACCACTATGGAGAAGTTTGGAGGTTCCTTGAAAAACTAAAAATTGAGCTACCATACAATCCAGCAATCCCACTGCTGGGTATATAACACAAAGAAAGAAAATCAATATATTGAAGAAACATCTGCACTCCCATATTGTGTGTCTGTTCACAACAGCCGAAATTTGGAAGCAACCTAAATGTCCATCAACAGATGAATGGATAAAGAAAATGTGGCACATGTACACAATGGAGTACTATTCAGCCATAGAAAAGAATAAGATTCAGTCATTTGCAACAACATAGATGGAACTGGAGGTCATTAGGTTAAGCAAAAAAGCACAGCATGAAAAGACAAGCATTGCATGTTCTTACTTATTTGTGGGATCTAAAAATCAAAATAATTAAAACCATGGAGATAGTAGAAGGATGGTTACCAGAGGCTGGAAGGGTAGTAGGCAGTGGGGTGGGGTCGGGGAGATAGTTAATAGGTACAAAAAATAGTTAGAATGAACAAATATGGTCTAGTATTTGATAGCACAATAGGGTCAGTAATAATTTAATTGTTCACTTTAAAATAACTAAGAGTGTTACTGGATTGTTCTTAACACAAAGGATAAATGCTTGAGGGGATGGATATCTGATCTTCCATGATGTAATTATTACACATTGCATGCCTGTATCAAAACATCTCATGTACCTCATAAATATACACACCTACTATGTACCCACAAAAATTAAAACTTAAAACAACAAAAAAGAATTTGGTGGATAGTGGCTCCAAAATCAAATTTCCCAGGAAGGAATGAAAAGAAACTAGTTGCAGCATGGCATGGTGTTGCAGCAGGAATGCAAAAGAAAGGAAAGAGATTCAGCTAGAATGAATGACAATGGAGGCTATGTCAGTATGGGGCAACAACCTGCTTTAAAAGGACACTCTTGAGAAAGTGGGTACCACGATTTTGCAATAGTAACAACAATGAATGTTAACATTTATGGGATACATACTATGTGCCAGGTCTTGCTCCAAGAGATTTAAATAAGTTAACTCAAATAATTCTCGCAACGACTCTAGGGATAGGTAAAAATATTAGTCCATTTCTTAAATGAGAAAACCAAGACACAAGGTGAAATAGCAAGCAAGTGGTTGGAGCAGGAATTAAAATCCAGGCAACCTGGAATCTAACCATGGGCTACAAATTCCAAAGACATGCCCATATGGCAACCCCTCAGCCATATGTGATGTTTTCAGGTGTAGAACACAGAGGCCTAATCCTTAATATTGGCTACTTCCACCATGCATTGGAAGCTGTCCGAAGAAACCACAGGAACCTCTTGATTTCCAGTGAGTCCAATTTCTGTGTGTTATTGAAGGTTACTGATGATCATCACTTGAATTATTTCTCGTATAGGGCCATCAAGAAGTACAGTATCTGTAAGTGTGGAAATCAAGCAGAAGGGGCATACTTCAAAAAAAAAAGGGAAAACAGGATTGAGAAATACAAAGGGGAAATTACAAATATTTCTACTGCTTGCCTTGTATTTTAAGAGGCCCCTTCCCTCCAAATAACTCCAAGCACTTTTTTGTAAAAAATCATCTTTACTTTCAGGTATTTAAGGCCAGAAATAAAGCAGTATATTCAACTATAGTGTAGTCATCTTAATGACAGAGCAGTTTTACAAATGTTTAAATTGAATCCAAATCAATTTAAACAAATAGTGCATGGGTAGAATGCCTTTTGAATATTTTGAGCTGTGTCCTTAACCTCTAATTTGAATCATTTTTTAGAAAGCTAAAATGAGAATTAATTCTATGTGTAGCTAACATCTAGGAAAATAGAAGACAACCAATAAGATCCCTCAGAGTTTAGAACTCATCACATGAAACCACCATCTGAAAAGCATAATGAAGCATTCACATTTCCCCCAAAAGGCTTTAATTGCTCCAGCTTCATTATATTTAACATTTTTCTAACTCAGATCACAGCTATGAATCTTGCCACTGATCCTGGCTCAATATTCTCACAGTAGATCATTGCTAGTCAGGTTTGCACCTGCTTTCTGATTGCCTGCACCCATTTCCAAGTTGAAATCAATGAAACCTATTAGCATGTTCTCTACTCTGCACTTTAATTTTGGATAGCAATGTATTATTAATGTAATCATCCCGACAAGCCTTGTTCGGCATCACAAGTAAAATTGAAGGGTTTGCAATAGAGAACTTTAATAAGAATACTTATTAAATTGTATTGAAATCTAAATAATTGAATGCATATTTGATATAAAATTTAAATTGAAATGAATCACACCAAAGTAGAGAGCCATCAATAGAGAACAGAGATCCTTTATACCTTTGAAAGACAAAACATGATTCCAGCCATGTATCACTGTATTCATGACACAAGCAAGACCATTTATTTCTACATTTGAAGATGACAGCTCCTTTTTCTCTTTAATGTTTTATGCTATGCTGGGCATTTTCTATGAAAAAAAAAAATCCTTCTTTAAAAAAGCTAAATGGTATAGTATCTCTAGTGTCTCAAAGTTTGAATCACTAAATGTCAGATACTAATTTTATATAATAACATGTACAAACCCTAAAGAGAAAAATTAGTAAAGGTGTTGATGAACTCATGCATTGACAAAGAAGAGAGGAATTTTAATGTAGCAGAATTAACAATTAAAAGAAAACATTTGGTTAATTTGTTATTTAATTTGTTTCACCACTAACCTTCTGCTGCTATTGGAAGATTAATATCCACTTTCCTTAGAACTTACCTTCATAAATATTAATATGGTAACATAATCATTGTAATTAAAAATAAATTTATTAATTTCCAACATGCACCAGGTTGTTTAAGCAAAATCACTTTCTACACTCTGAGGATTGGCAATCTAAAATAGTCACCAAAGCAGACATAGAAGAGTAAGCAGCAAAGGGATGTTAAGGCATGAGGTTGTCCTACACACAAGCAGCTGCCTATTTACTGTGAGCTTATTAAAGAGAATAGTAAAGGGAAAAACTTAAAAAAACTGTAAGATCATTGACTTCACCCACATTCTTAGAGAATTCAGAGTCACTTTACTAGGCAGTGAAAATTGAGAATCCTGCATATCTTCTGACGGAGTTGGCAGTTTGGGAGTAGGGACTGATAATGTGATACAGCAATCGACTCCATATATATAAGGTGTTTGCTGTATGCCTAAAATAGTGCACTTCTCCCCTCCTAAAGTTACAGCAACCTCTCCAAAGAAGCCACCTGTTTTGGGTGTTTTTTTTTTTTTTCTAGAAGTCTGCTTACATTTTCTGTCATATATAAACCATCAGCAACAGAAAATATGTTTTAGGGGTATTGAATGGGGGAAAAAAACTTGGAAGTTTCTTTCAGTAGTTCAAGCAAGAAATTAGGAGAGCCCAAACCAGGTTAAATGCAGTGAGGATGAAAAGAATGTACCTAAAATATAATTATGAGATCAAATTGATTAAGATTTGTGATTGCTTAGATATGTGTATGAGCAAAAGGGTGGAATCAAGCAAACATCACATGCCAGTTTCTAGTTTTGGTGAACTGAAAGATAGTGGATTCCTCCAACCAAAATAAGCAGGAAAAACAATTCACTAAGGAAGTGATGGGTTCAGTCCAAGACCTCATGAGATGCCCAGGTGGAATTTTCATGCTTGAAATCCCAGTGAGGCATCTGGACTGGAGACAGAGATCTGCAGCTCTCAGCAGCTTTTAGTGCTGTCAAACACAAATATAATGCCAATCATGTAAGAAATTCTATATTTTCTAACAGTAACATTTTAAAAAGTAAAAAGGAACAAAAAGAGTTATATTTGATTTTACCCAATGTTTATAAAGTTTCTTTCTAGCACATGGCACTAGCCACATTTCAAGTGCTAAGTATCCATATGTGGCTACTGGCTACAGAATTACACAGTGCAGACTTGAGAATAGTTTGAAGGCTTAAGTAGGGATGTATTACACAGAAAGTTCAAGTAGAAGAAGGGAGGGGACTAAGAATAGGCCCTTGGATAATGCCAGTAGAAATGACAGAAAAACAGCTTACAGTGGAGATGAGAAGAAACTTTCAAGAAAACACAAAAACGGGGGAAAAACAGCAACCAAAGAAAAGAGATTTTCCTGGAAAAGAGATTAACAAATAGTGTTCATACAAGGAATTCCAATTAGGCAGAACTTACAAACTTATACAGCTGATAATTTTGACATTTCAGTAGTCTACAGCAACAGAAGTTAGGGCAGGTCCAAGTTTTGTGGGATCTAAAAATCAACCAATTTTGGAGTCCCCATTTACAAAACGAAACTATGAATGCAAAATCCAATATGCCCCATGAAGGCCTAGGAAAGGATCTGTGCAATGAGGAGCCCTGAATTTTAAGCTTCAATAGCTTCATGGAAATCCATCTCCAAACGGGTGCAAGATTTCAGTGGAAAATATAAATGGGAAAACTTTCTCAGACAAATTAAAAAGAGTTGGAAGATTTCATGGTATCCATAGGCATATTCAGGATTAAAATGCAGGTTCACATAAAGTACCAAGCAACATAAAATGCAGCATGAATTAAAAGGGAGTGATGATGCCACAGAGTCAAGAACCGAGGTAACGATGTAGCTTAATGTCATTGAAAAATAGTCCGTGCAGAACATCTGCAGACTGGACTTCCTACTGGATATTCTAAGCACAAAAAAACTCAACAAGTTCTAGGATCCTCTTTTCAGATAACTCAGACTATACAAAAAACATCTTCAAGTCATTTTTAAATTTTTGATTTTAACTACTGACAAATAATTGTACATATTATATATTTATTTGATATAATGTGATATTTTGATGTAAATTTACATTATGGAATAAATAAGTGAAGCTAATTAACAAATCGGTCAGCTCACATACTTATTATTTTGGTGAGTGAAAACATTTAAAATCTACTATTTTAGTAACTTTGAAATATATAATGCATTTTTATTATAGTCACCATTCTATGCAATAGATCACTAAAGCATATTCTTCCTGTCTAACTAAAACTGTATATAATTTGATCAACATCTTCCCTCCCTCAGCCACCCCTCTTCCCCCAACTTTTGGTAACCACCAATATACTCTCTACTTCTATGGGTTTGACTTTGAGATTCCACATAAGTGAGTTCATGTGCTATCTGGCTTTCTGTTCCTGGTTTATTTCACTCAGCATAATTTATTCCAGGTTTATCCATGTGATTACAAACGACAGAATTTCCACCTTTTAAAAAGCTGAATAATATTCCACTGTGTCTATACACATACAGCATTTTCTTTATCCATTCATTTGATAATGGGCATCTACGTTGCTTCCATATGTTGGCTACTGTGATTAATGCTGCAATGAATCCAGGAGTGCAGATTCTCTTTTTGATATACTAATTTCAATTTCTCTGGATATATACCCAGAAGTGGAATTGCTGGATCACATGGTCATTCTGATTTTGGTTTTCTGAGGAACCTTCATACTGTTTTCCACAGTGACTGTATTAATTTACATTCTCACCAATAGTACACAAAGATTCCCTTTTTCTTCACATGCTTGCCATTTACCTTTTGTCATTTTGATAACAGTCATTCTAACAGGTGTGCAATATTTCATCATGCATTTTATTTGTATATCCCTGGTAATCAGTTATGTTGAACATTTTTTCCATGTATCCATTGGCCATTTGTATGTGTTTTATTTTGAACAATATATATTTAGGTCCTTTGCCCATTTAACTAGGTTCCTTGTATTTTCACTAAGTTGCTTACACACTTTGGATATTAACTCTTTATCAGATGTATGGTTAGCAAATATTTTCTCCCAATCCAAAGGTTATCTCTTCCCTTTACTGTTGTCTTTGCTGTGCAGGAGCTTTTAAGTTTGGTGCAATCCCATTTGTTTATTTTTGCTTTTTTGCCTGTATTTGGGGGGGGTCATATACAAAAAATCTTTGCCCAGACCAAGGTCACGGAGCATTTCCCCTATGTTCTCTGATAGCAGTTTTACAGTTTCAGGTCTTATGTTTAAATCTAATCCATTTTTGATTTTCATATATGGTATGAGATAAGGGACTAATTTTATTCTTCTATATGCAGATATCCTGTTTTCCCAACACTATTTATTCAAGAGGCTGTCCTTTCTGTATGGTGTGCTCCTAGCACCTTTGTCAAAAATCAATTGACCATAAATGCATGGGTTCATTTCTAGGCTATTCGGTTCCATGGGTCAATGTGTGTTTTCATGCTAGTACCATTTTGATTACTTTAGTTGTGTAATAAATTTTGAAGTTGGGTGGTGCTATGCCTCTAGCTTTGTTCTTTTTGCTCAAGATGGCTTTGGCTATATGCAGTCTTTCGTGGTTCCATACAAATCTTAGAATTGTTCTCTATATCTGCGAAAACTAACATTGATATTTTGATAGGGATTGCACTGAATCTGTAGATCACCTTGGGCTGTATGGACATTTTAACAATATTAATTTTTCTAATTCATGCACATGAATACTTTTCCACTTATTTTTATTGTCTACTATTTATTATCAATGTTTTATACTTTTCAGTATATAATTTTTTTATCTCCTTGGTTAAATTTTATTCCTAAGTATTGTTTTTGATACTATTGTGAATAGGATTGATTTCTTAATTTCTTTTTCACCTAGTTGGTTGTTAAAGTAACACTAATTTTTGTATGTTGCTTTTGTATCTTGCAACCTTACTGAAATTGTTTATTAGTTCTGATTGGTTTTTTTTTTTCCAGTGAAGTTTTTAGGGTTGTTGACATATAAAGATCAGATTATCAAAAAACAGAGACAATTTCACTTTTTCCTTTCTATTTTGATGCCAAGTGATTTACTTAAATGAGACATTAAACCAGAGACATAAAAGACGTTATCAGCCTTTTCCCCATGTTCCCCCTAAATACCTCTAGCCCCTCTAACTTTTCTATTATCCTTTTGCTTTTACTTAATTTTCAGAGTTCATAAAAATGAATTTTTATAAAACCTTCAGTGCTCCTGAAACTGTAAAAACAGGCTTATATCATATAACCCATTTGCCATATTCATTATCAGAATGAAGCTAAATATTTTAATTCTGCATAATTTAGAAATCTAGCCAAGCATAGGCATCTACAAATTTTTGAGTAATGCTTGTGGGGACTCATATGATAAAATGAATGAAAGATTAAAATAAAGATTCTTTGCAATTTCAAAAAATAAAGCTTTCATTTAGTGTGGTCCTCTGCCATATGGGACCACCTGGCTGCTTAGAGCAAAATCCTATCACCATGACAACTGAGCTCAAACTTTCCATAATGTCTTTAGGATTCTTATGATATACTCTTTTTCAGCCTATTTTTTTTTTTTGCTCCAGAAATAGGTTATTAAAGCTACTCTTCACAGTAAGCTATTCCAATATCAAAATGGAAGAAGCAATTATCAGACTGTCCTTCAATGACCTTGAGAAGTAATCAAACACACAGAACAAAATCTCTATAAAACTCCTTCAGTTGAATTAGAATGGCTGCGGACTGCTGGGAAATTGCAGCAGTCCCAAATGGAAAGATAGAATCCCAATACTGTGGAACACTTTAGGATGTATACAGCAGATAGACAGATAGATAGATAGATAGATAGATAGATAGATAGATAGATAGATAGATAGATAGATAGATGATAGATAGATAGATACATAGATACCCATGTAGATATAAAATCAACCTATTTGAACCCCAAACAACTACTAAGAGGTAAGAATAATTTTCCTTATTTTATAAATGAGAAAATAGTGATTCAGAGAAGTAAATGACTTGGCCTACTTTTGAACAAGAGATTTTGAGATTTCTGACATCACTGCTCATGATCTTCCCTAGAATCATAGGTTTCAATCAGTCAAAGAGTGAATCAGAGCCACAAAACAAAACAATAACTTACTGGCTCATTCATTCATTCATCTACCAATTACTATGCACTGAATTCCATTGAGCACATGCTAGGTCTGTTTTCGCTGAAGAGCTGTATCAATGCACATGACGAGCCACACACACAAATGATACTGATTAATAGCAAGAGTGTTCTTTACCCCTAAAAGTGAGCTGTTATTCTTTTTTTTCTTTACCCCTAAAAGTGAGCTGTTATTTTTTATTTATTTATTTATTTTTTGAGACAGAGTCTGGCTCTGTTGCCCAGGCTGGAGTGCAGTGGCATAATCTTGGTTCACTGCAACCTCTGCCTCCCGGGTTCAAGCAATTCTCTGCCTCAGCCTCCCGAGTAGCTGGGATTACATGCGCCTGCCACCATGCCTGGCTAATTTTTGTACTTTTAGTAGAGATAGGGTTTTACCATCTTGGCCAGGCTGGTCTCAAACTCCTGGCCTCGTGATACATCAGCCTTGGCCTCCCAAAGTGCTGGGATTACAGGCGTGAGCCACCACGCCCGGCCTATTCTGTTATTCTTTATGTGAATTTTCTAGTTTGTAGGTTCTCTCATTCTCCCTTTTAAAACATTCCAGGCATTTGGTCTTCAGAATGTTTCAGCTCATTAACACAAAATTTTAGGAATCCCATGAGAATAATTAACCGGGATAGGATCCTTAACTATCTCATATGCATTTTTAATTTGACATTCAGTCAACTATAAAATTATTATAGCCCCACCAGTTGTGACATGCAATACCTATGTAAGCTTAATCAAGAAAAACATATCGAAGTCAGTGCACTGGGTAAATTATAGTATTCAGTCATCAGAGAAAGCCTTAGATCAAAGCAAAATTAATGCCATTATTATGTGCTTTTCAAAGTGAAATTGGAAATAAGGCTTCAATAACAGGTGCAGCAAGTCAAGAGAATTGCCACAAGTGAACAACGCGAATGACACTTATTCTTATCCAAATGCCAAATATCTAAGCATATCCACAATCATAGTAACAAAAAAAAAGGTGGAAAAAAAAGATACTTTTCTAACAAATTATACATGAACACAAGTAGAAAGCTCTCTTTCTAGGTCTATTTTATATTTGTCTATGGCCAGCTGGTGTTTGTGGTACTATAATGGTCAGATATATGCAAGCCTTTCCTTTTTACTATCCAAATGGAGAAAATTGCTCCTCTAAGGAATGCTATTTCTGAGGAGGCCTGAAGGTACATTGGGAAGCTCTCCTCCCACCTCACCAACCCTGCTGCTCTGATATGTGTCCATGAGTGCTATGATTCAGTATCAGTGAGGAATGTTAGCCACTTTGAATTCCTTAATTGTCTGCTATTTTGCAGAAATGAGGATGGGCCAAAACAGTATGGGAGCCATAAGTGCCTGCCACCCACCCCCACACAGACCAGGTGAAAGATCTGTGCTTATTTCATTTATTTGCTTTTTAGTGCTACCCAACTAATCATTTTTCTCATGATGAGAATCAGACTCTGATGACAACAGCATTTTTCAAGAGAATCTCCTGAAACCTGCTCCAAACAACTTTGGATAGAGTCCAACCTACATGTCACTTTAGATGATGACATCATCTTAGAATAGGCCTTCAAAATGGCCATTTAGTTACATAAGATGAATGGACATAAGTCATGCTGTTTCCTAAAATTTGTTTTCTAAATGGCACTCTTTCCTGTGACAAAAATTTGTTGAAATATTGTTTTCCCTTGCAATTTCTTATTTTGGAGATTTGGACTGACTCCTTGAAAGTAATTTTGAGAATCCCTGAGGTGGGGGAAGGAAGAATGCCTGTTTAGGAAGAGGACAGAGATCTAGGGACTGGCACCTGCTCTTCACTAGGGAGGTGGTCAGAGCCTAGCAGGGGGACTGCTTCGAGAGACACAAAAGTAGAGAAGATCCTAGCTACTGAGGTTCCTGGATTCTCAACTTTGCTTAAGATTCCTGAGCCCAAATTATGGCACGGAATTGATGGAATCAGAACCCAAAGAAAACATTTGGCTTGAAAATGGTGGCATCCCTCAGTGGTCACCACCACACACTGATGCACAAAGAGGTGAGGACGCACCATTGTGTTTCTGGGTATGGATAAGCCTGGGACCTTGGCACAGCTCTGAAGGAAAGAGAGCACACAACATTTGTAAACGAGCTTGAATTTCCCACTGTACCACTGAGATCTGCATATTGGAATTCAGTTACAACAAAATATGAAGAAATGCAGTATTTTCAGTACACTTAAGTGAATAGACTGTGATTCAGACCAGCTACTTGGTTTGATATTTTTCTAGGGGCCTGTCAAAATCAAATACTTGCCATGTGAAGACCCCTCACAGAAAGTTGAGGCATCATTTTGTGGGTCAACTAAAGGGTGTGTGTGTGTGTGTGTGTGTGTGTGTGTGTGTGTGTATTTTTTTTTTTTTTTTTTTTTTTTTTGAGACGGAGTCTCACTGTCGCCCAGGCTGGAGTGCAGTGGCGCAATCTCGGCTCACTGAAAGCTCCGCCTTCCCCGGTTCACGCCATTCTGCTGCCTCAGCCTCCCGAGTAGCTGGGACTACGGGCGCCCGCCACCACGCCCGGTTAATTATTTTTTGTATTTTTAGTAGAGACGGGGTTTCACTGTGTTAGCCAGGATGATCTGGATCTCCTGACCTCGTGATCCGCCTGCCTCGACCTCTCAAAATGCTGGGACTACAGGCGTGAG